GTTCTACTACTAATTAGTTATGGTTGAGCCTGAGACTCCAAGTCAGTGTCAGCTGTTGGCAGTTCTTGTAGATTTATGTGTCCACGGCATTTGGGACTGGCGCTCGCTCATATTTGCTCGCTAATTGAAAAGTATTTGTAACGGGTCAGCAGATATAAATCAGGCAGGCATAATCCATTACTTATGATCGCGTTGCCCTCTGGGGGCATAGCCCAAAGACTGCTAACTCAGGCAGCGATCAGCGATCAGAGAGGCAGCACAAAGAGCTTGACTCATGTCACTTGAGGATTTATTTCTTCCTCTCTCATTGGGATCTCGAGCGCGAAACTTGGTAGAACGAGGGCTCGCTCGCCCGATCGGGCCGCTTGGCGGCGGCGCGCATGTGCGGCCCCCTTTGATGTGCTAACATTATTAAAAAGCCAATAAAACATTTAAAAACAGCTTGAAATTTTTCATTGTTGGCGTTTCTTTAGCGGCTGCTGTTGCTTTTTCTTTTCTTGGCTTCTTTTTTGTTTTTTGTCTCCTTCTTTTTGGCAATTGAAAGCGAACGCAGCGAAAGATCCAACGAGTCGGCTTATTAATGCGACAGCGAACAACGCCAGACAATTTAATATCTTGAATATCCCTTTGACTGCCGCACCGCACCACCACGAACCACCGCGCACCACAGCGCCCCAAGGTGAACCGTGCCGCACGGTAGCACAAAATGTCAACAATCAGCGAACAATCACATTTTGTTTGCTGTCAATGTGACAGCCACCAATATTTATTTTAAATCACCGACAGCGCTGCCTGTTTTAAGAGAACTGCCATCCCAGGCTACTTGGCTCCCCATCTCCTCTCTGTCACTCCCGCTCTCCTGGCTCAGCTCTATTGCTGCCTGATTGGTCTGCGTTTATTTAGGCAGTAGCTACAGTGTTTGTTTTTGGCTTTCAATTCGTTTGAATCGGCTTCGACGGCGGCTCAGCCTGAACGGCAGTCAGTCAGCCGCATGCCATCATCAAAATGAAATACAAATATCTTTGACAGCTACTGTAGAGTGTGTGAGAGACAGAGTGAGGGAGAGGGGGTGAGCGGGAGGGAGTGGGGGTGACTGGGTAGACCCATATTCAGTCCGACTTTGAAGTCCGCTGACATCGACGACGTGCCCATCATTCGTTCGTCTTCTGAGCCTTTGTCATGTCAATGCTGCTTCTGCTGCTGGGCTCCTTCGGCCGTCGTGGAAGCCAGCTTAAATCTGAGCCACAGCCAGGCCAAGCAATGGCTAGTCACCCAGTCAGCTTAGTCAGTTTAGGCAGCCAGTCATTTCCTTTTTCGTCTTTCCTTTTCACCCATTCAACTGGTGCGTGCATATGTGCATGTGTGTGTGTGTGTGTGTGCATGACACACATTCCTTACGTAGCCAGCAACGGCATCACTTCAAAGGACATGTTTACCATCGCCGATTTTCTTCTGGCTGAGTCAAAACGCTAAAATCACAATAACCAAACACACAAAAAAAGAAAACAAAAATGTTTGCTTATATTCTTCCGATCGTAAGACAATAGATAAGCGAAACAATGTCAAGCGACCTTCTGCGAATTCAGAAACATGTGTCTCCTCTTCCATCTGCATTAGAATGCCAACTGCTT